AATTAGATGGTCATAGTAATACTGTCTGGTCAGTCTGTTTCTCTCCTGATGGAAAAACATTAGCTTCTGGTAGTAGTGATAAGTCTATCCGTCTATGGGATGTCAAAACAGGATAATAAAAAGCCAAATTAGATGGTCATACTAATGGCATATTTTCAGTCTGTTTCTCTCCTGATGGAAATACATTAGCTTCTGGTAGTGATGATTAGTCTATCTGTCTTTGGGATGTCAAAACAGGATCATAAAAAGCCAAATTAGATGGTCATACTAGTACTGTCTGCTCAGTCTGTTTCTCTACTGATGGAAATACATTAGCTTCTGGTAGTAGTGATAACTCTATCCGCCTCTGGGATGTAAAGACAGGTTAAGAAATTAAATCCTCTGATAAAAACTACAAAGATATTCTTGCATAATTTAAGATTCCACTTTAATAACAGAGCCATATTTCGGAAGGTAGTATTTATCATCTATCATATTTTAGCCTCCAATTACATAACTACACTACTTATATCCCAACAAGCAATATTTCAAGCCAAAGGAGCTTTAATTCTGAAAGGAGAATTTATAAATCAATCAGGTATTGATTTAAAGACATTGTTTAAACAAAAAGGAAGTTGCATTTTAGAAGACCTCAAGTAAAAGTGATAATTATTATTAACAAAGAACATTACAACAATTATTATTTTAATTTATTCTTCATATTTTTTAATTATATCTTATTTTTGCTCTATTCTTTATTTTGATTTCTCAAGATTCATACAAGTTTTTCAAAAGTATTTAATTTTAAGGAAATGTAGGGTATATTTATTGAGATTTCCTTAAAAAAAACTGATATTAATTAACATTTATAGATTTAATGTTAAATGAGACTTCAATAAATTAATAATCCAAACAGAGAACAGTATGCATAGATTTGAAGTGATTATAATAAAGATTTATTTTAATTACTTAATTGAAACCTAACTTAACAAAAAAACTGCAGGATTATTTCATAAGATATTCTGATAATTTATTTAATTTTTTACTATTTATTAACATAAGTCTTAATAGATAAAATTAATAATAATGTAAAATTAGTTTATAAATAGTAAAAGATATATTTAATAACAAAGATAATAATAAAAAAAGATATGACAAGGATTAAAAAAATAAAGTTAATCTTAGAATATAATCTAAACTATATATCAAAGTTAAAAAAATATGATATTGATTAATTTTAACATTACTATCAATTCAAGATAATGTATCAATCACCTGTTAATTGATAAGATATTAAAAAAACTTTGAAAACATATTAGAAAAGTAGTATATTTTTGACATTATTAAGATTTAAGGAGATAATTATATCCTCTCCAACTGTATTATATATGAATCTTAATTAATGATTAACTTGAGCTCAACGTGAAATTTTACATACATCAAATAATAAGCAGTTATTACTCAATGTATAATCACTGTTGTCCCTTCAAAATGATTTTTACAAAATTAATTAATATCTTTTTAAAAAATAATATCTCTTATGTATTTAAAAACTCATTAAATGGTTATATTCTACAATTAAATTAAGAAATTGCACCTAATTTGTAGAATTAAAAGGAAATAATTATTGGTATTCATAATGGATAATCTTAATAAAATTTATCTTCTCTATAACAACCTCTTAAGATAAATTGGGCCGAAAAATTATTTAGATATATAAAAAAGCATTCATATTAGTCACACTTAAATGCATGGGTATTTTCTCTTAAATATCCAAAAACAAATTTTTCAATAACATTGTTAAAATTTATAGTTTATAAAATCAATTTAATAAAAATAATTGGAATATTAGAATATATCAACTCTCGAGAAATACGAAGATTAGAAAACTTAGAAATGATAAATGCTGAAAGATTTAGTTGTAGAATTTACTTTATAAATCTAGTACAATTCACATTCAAAATATAAATTGAGAGAAAATGCTTGGTTATGATAAGAATAATACCAAAAAAACAGAATACAAAGATTTAAGATATTATAGCATTCATGCAACTAAAAGTTCTATTTCATAATATT